TATTGCGAATCTCGACCTGCAACCACTTTATATCCAACCAAATTGGGAACTTCCTGCACGCGTAGATCGATCACTTCAGATATATGTATATACTATGGCTATATATTAAATACCGTATCATAACATATACTACTATATATATATAGAACCGAAAATTTATGTCAACTTAAGTGGACACAAGATTCATTGTCCACCAAACGTTTATTAACCATCTGGATATTTCCTAGGGTCTTGCATGATATGAGTGACTTTTTATATACATCGAACATGAGTGGATACTAAACTTTGGTGGACACTAGGCTCTTGTCAGCTTAAGTTGACAAGCGTTTTACTCTATATACCATAGAGGGTAAGATAATAATATAACTACCCTAGTATATACTTACGTATCCTATGATGAATACTGGAGAAACTTGGCTACAAGCACCGCTAGACTTGGTAGTGAGGTGGCGATCTTATTCATTACATCTAGACATTTGGGAGGTTGGTGAGTGTAGTTGAGGCCCTACTATCTTCAAGGTGTGATGTATGGTGACAAGATACACGCACCCTCATACACGTAGCTTGGCTACCAATTTCTCTATTATCTAATATATATATTTACCTAATACCTAATAACTCACTATACTGTAATATATCACACACACTAGGTTTTATACACGTGCAATGCACGTGGTTAAATACCATGATTAAGTATTTTTAGATTACTTTCTAACTAAAATTTGTTTCCCAATTTCACTTTAATAGTTTATGCTCACATTTGTCTCTAAACTTTTATATTGTGATTATTTATTTTCTTTGATGTTTGTTTAAATGTGCTACACCCAATTTAAATTTTCATGTTGATATTTGAATTGATAGAAAACAAATATAATTTGAAGCTAATTTAAATTTTCATATTATTTTGATTGACATGAAATCAAGCTTTACTTGAGAAAGTACAATGTTGCAAAAGTAAAAAATATTGAAATAATGTTATACAAGGAAGGTGAATATTTAAAACCAATAAGTCAAAATGATTGGTTAAAAGTATGCTAAAACGATACAAAAGAGAATATGAAGTTTGTTCCTAATCATTGATAGACTTCACAAAAAATTATAAATTAAATATTAATGCTAACTTTAGTATACTTTCATATGATAAAAGCATCTGCATAAGCATATAAAAGTACTGAAAAAAGCTCATGAAACTCTCTTCTGAAGATTTCTAAATTCACTCAAAATAATTAAATTATTCTATAAAATATTCATAAAATATTATATTTTATTCCTTATATTTTATTTTATTTTATTGAGCTAAGATCAATCATTCCTCACCTTTATCTTTTTCTCGGACAATTCTAGAGTAGTGTCTTCATCATTTACTCGATTGTGATATCAGGCTAGAGTTGTATTTTTTGTACTGTTATCTTTCGTGGGTTCGTTAATCTTTTATCTTGTCATTTAACTTCACAAAGAAGTTAAATGTATTTCTAATGTTCAGCACAAACTTCTTAAAATACAGACTTTGATTTTTTTTATTTCAATGAGAATAAATATTAATATCATATATATGGAATTCTTTGTGTTTCTAATTTATTACTTAAATAAGATTAAGAGTTACCTCTTTTTTCTCTACAACGAATTCTTCCGATGTGCATCCAATAAGAGTTTTCGTTACGTCAATAATATTACATTTGCTCTATCCCTGTCATTTTTCACAAAGATCTAAACTAAATACCTATATTTTTTATTGCCAATTTTCCTTAGATTATAATATTAATATTTAATTTTTTTTTAGTATTTGAAGAACAAAGTATGAAATTTATGAATGCTTACTAATTTTTCTTATATCTTCCATAGAGATGAAATTTATGAATGCTTACTAATTTTTCTTATATCTTCCATAGAGAATTCTTCTTTGATTGGGATAAAATTATTAAATTATTCGCTTACTAATTTTTCTTATATCTTCCATAGAGAATTCTTCTTTGATTGGGATAAAATTATTAAATTATTTTTTAATGTAACTCAGTTGGTGCTTCTTTAATAGACATGCCTTATGTTAATGCCAATTCAAATGATTTATGGACGTTTTCTGAATTTTAGATTTATTTTCGTCACTTTCCCATTTACAATGGAAATAGCTTGATTATTTTGAAGGATATCTCTAAACATTCTTATAGTTTCTCCATACATAATTCATTGTATTCTTTTATCCTATAAATATTATTAACATCAGAAATTAATGTTTTTAAATTATAATTAATTAATGCTAAGCTATTATATTATAGTCTTTTATCATTTTTATGGATTTAAACATCTATCAATTAATGTTACTAATGTGTTTTGCTGGTCCAACTTATTAATAAAATTTTATGCAGTTGCTTTAATTTATATGGTAACAATAATTTTTAAGCTATAATATTTTTTTAAATTTTTATTCCCTAACCGGATATTTTTAATCAATTCTTATTGCTTTTGTTTACCAGTATCAACTTAGACTATCTTTAGATGCTGAAAAGTGATAGTAAACCCTAAATTAGAAATTAAATATATATATCTTAATGAAAGAATACCTAACAATTATACTTTTCTTTGCCAAGTTTTAAAATTTCAGCCTTTTCTGTGGTTTTGAACTTTGAGGGTGTGATTTGTAATTTTTAAAACTTTAGGAGCATTTTAAAAAATTACTTTTAAGTTTGGTAGTTGTAACTTCTATGTTTCATGTGTCAGTGGTAATTTTTAAATGTCACGATATTTCTTACAACTCTAAAATTTTGAAGTTGCTTTTTATAATTGTTAAAACTGTAGATTAATTTTTAAAAAATTCAAATTTTAGCGGTCTGCCAATAGTTTTCAGATTTGATGTGTACTGGTTATAAATTTTAAAAATTTAGAGTTTTTATGATTTTTAAATTTTAAAAGAGTTTTTTCTACAACTTTTGTAACTTTGAGATTAATTTCGACAAATTTTAAATTTTTAGGTGCATGAGGGTAATCTCTTGAATTCATCTTTTGTTGTTTGCAAATTTTAGAATTTTTAAAATATTAGGGTTGTTTTTTATAATTTGAACTTTTGAGGGTATTTCTATAATTTTTGGGACATTGAGGGTGTTAATTAAAAATTTTAAATTCTTTGGAGGCTGCTGTTAATTTCTTGATTTCATGTTTGTTGTTTTAAGTTTTGAAATATCAAAAATTTTCATGCATTATGGTAATCCCTTGAATTCATCTATGTTGTTTGTAAGTTTTAAAATTTTAGAATTTCATGTGCTTGTTTGTAATTTAAACTTTTGAGGGTGTTTCTATAATTTTAAATTTTAGAATTTCATGTGCTTGTTTGTAATTTAAACTTTTGAGGGTGTTTCTATAATTTTTGAGATATTGAGATGTTAACCGCAAATTTTTGTTTGTAATTTAAACTTTTGAGGGTGTTTCTATAATTTTTGAGATATTGAGATGTTAACCGCAAATTTTTAAATTCTTCGTAAACTAATGCTAATTTCTTGTTTTCATGTTTGTTGTTTTAAGTTTTTAGACGTCGGGATAGTTTTTATAATTTTAAACTTTTCAGGGTATTTTGTGCAATTTTAAAACTTTTAGGTTTTTTGCAATAATTTATGTATTATGTACGTTAGCTACGTATAATTTCTTTATCTTAACAAACTAATACCATAAAGATATTTTATATATTTTATTAATATTATTTTTTAATTGTTAAGCTATAAATAGTTCACGCAGGATTAGGATAAGATATAATTATGATAGATTAAGATATAAATAAAATATTTAAAATAGTGAAGAGTAATATTGACCATAGAAAGATTATTTT